AGACTGGGCCGGGCAGCAATGACACCTGCATCACTGAGAATATCCAGGGCGTACTTGCGCTGACTAAGAACTACACCAGCAGGAGAACGGGCAACCTCGATACCCAGAAAGTACTTCAAAGGACCGAGATCTTTGATGATGAACCGATCATTCAGAAATGACTCAACACGGGCGATGAACGGCGCATCGTTACCAGTGAGAACCACATCATTCACATAAATGAGAGCTGCAACAAATGACGTCCCACGGCGGTACAGCAACAGGGAATGATCCGCACGGGAGGGAGAAAAACCAAGTTCAGCAAGGGCAAGGGTGAACTTGTTGTACCAGTTCCTGGAAGCTTGACGCAGGCCATAAAGAGATTTACGGAGACGGCAAACTCGAGTATCACCAGGTTGAGCAAAACCGAGAGGAACTTTCATATAGACCTCTTCATGGAGATCGCCATGAAGGAAGGCGTTGTTGACGTCTAACTGATGAAGTGGCCAACCCTTACTGACGGCAACGGCGATAAGAACGCGAAAAGTGACCAACTTGGCCACGGGGGCAAATGTATCATGAAAATCAACCCCCTCGACCTGCGTAAAGCCCTTAGCAACAAGCCGAGCCTTGTAGCGTTCGACTGACCCGTCTGGGTGGTACTTAATCTTGTAAACCCACTTCGAGTATATGGCACGTTTCCCGGGAGGCAGAAACTCCAAAGTCCAAGTCCCATTGTCCTCCAAGGCCATGATCTCTTTATTCATTGCTTCGCGCCAGCATGCATGCTCCACAGCATCACGGAAATGGGAAGGTTCCACAACCTGTGCAATGGAAGCCAAAAAAGCACGATGAGTGTAATAAAAGCGATGATAAGAGACATGATTAGAGATGGAAAACGTAGCTGATGTCGAAGCGGAGGAACCCGGGAGTTCAACATCATAAATGTCGAGCTTGGAGGGCGGCCGACGAATACGGTCGCTGCGTCGAGGAGGAGGAGGTGCAAGCTGTGGGTCGGTGTTGTTTGAAACCGGCAAGGGAAGTGGGGAAGAAGCAGGGAGATCGCCAGCGGAACCATCAGGAACTTCACTTTCACCAGGCACAACAAGAGGAGACACGGGCTCGGTGGCCAAGTTATCGGGCTGGGGAGAGGCAGTGGCATCACCGATGTCGAAGCTTTCCTCAAGATCATCAATAGTGTGAGCATGATGATCAACCAAGGGTTCGAGCTCCCCCTCAAGACATGGCGTGGAGGATGGCGGCGCCTCGCGGGTGACAGGCTGTGACGGAGAAGAAAGCCGGAAAGGAAACTCATGTTCAACAAAATGAACATCGCGCGAAGTATAAATTCGCCAGAGATGAAGATCATAGACCCGATATCCCTTTTGTGAAGAAGGGTAACCAACAAAGACACACCGCCGTCCAATCCTGCGCTGGTGTCCTTGGCATAAGCCAAACAGCCAAAGGTATGCAAGTGTGTTTAAGTGGGATGACGTCCAAGAAGGACCTCGAACGGCGTCTTATTCGCAAGAACTGAGGAAGGGAGGCAGTTGATCAAATAAGTGGATGTCAGGACACACTCACCCCAAAAACGAACAGGGAGACCTGCCTGGAAGCGGAGTGCACGAGCGGTATCCAAGAGATGTCAATGTTTCCGCTCAACGACGCCATTCTGATGCGGAGTATTAACACAAGATGTCTGAAGTAGAATCCCATTATCTGCATAATACGATCGCAGTGAATAATTTTGAAATTCTATCCCGTTATCAGCCTGGATCCGTCGAACTTGCCGATTAAATTGAGTGGTCACCATCGCACAGAACGACAGGAGACATTTCTCAACATCGGACTTGTATTTCAACAAATACACCCAAATTGCCTGACTAAAGTCATCAACCACAGTTAAGAAAAACCTTGAACCATCCAAAGAAGGGGTCTTGTAGCCACCCCAAATATCCACGTGAATTAAATCAAAACAACCGAGTGTCGAAATAGTACTGGAAGGGAAAATAGCCCGTGTTTGTTTAGCTCTCCAACATGGATCACAGTGGGTTCGTGAAAAGGAAAGTTTCTTGGAACTAAGCGCATTGCGCAACAAAGAAAGTTTCTCAAAGGATGGGTGGCCGAGCCTATGATGCCAAACAGTGGAGTCATCTTGCCCAGCTACAGCAAAAGCATTGCCTCCTCGGCTCCTGGTAGACGCGTCCACACTGCCACGATCCAGGTAGTAAAGTCCGTCACGGAGTCTCCCCATACCAATCACTGTCCTGGAACGTAAGTCCTGGATAATACAAACACCAGCCAAGAATAATAAAGCAACATCATGATCCTGTGTAAGACGACTAACAGACAGGAGGTTGCACTTAAACTCAGGCACATGAAGAACACGACGAAGAGTGAGACGATTATTCAGGACAACAGTTCCCAGTCCTGCTACCGGAACACAACGACCATTGGGAATACGAACAGGAGAGTGCTGCCCACTACTATCCAAAATATCAAGCCAACTAGAATCTCTATCGATGTGCTCATTACATCCGGAATCAATAAGCCATTCGTAAAGGTCAGAACCATTACCAGCCATGTGAGCAGTAGGGCCGGGAGAGCCTGGTACAGGAGCATTGAGGAATTGTTTTAAATTCTCAAACTGCGCTGTCGTGAGACCCGGTATGGGACTTGCTTCATTATCAACATGTGTTGCCCGTGGTGCGGACTCACTAGGCTGCTTGCGCGTGGAGGAAGAGCGCTCGCCTTGTTTCCCTTTCTTTGAGTCAGAAGGAAAGCCAATTAGTCGGTAACACATTTCCTTTGTGTGTCCAAGCTTGCGGCAGTGCGAGCAACGAACCGGCTCCGACGAAACAACCGACTTCTCTTCCCTAGTTTGAAAAGCAGCCGCCTCTACAGGAGGCCTTCGCCCAGCAGTTAATTGTTGCTGTTGTTCGTCGCCCGCCACTAGCTGGTACGCCTCTGCGAGAGATGGCAGTGTTTTGGTACTCAAGATTTGAGTTCGCACAACAGCAAAGGAGTCGCCCAACCCCAAGAGAAAGTCAAAGAGGCGCTCCGTTTCTGATTTCTCACGTGCCTGCCGAGCCACATCACAAGTGCAGCCGCCGCAGCTACAATGCGGGTTTACACTGACAGTTTGGAGCTCATCCCAATATGTACGTAACTGTGTATAGAAGGCAGAAACGGACAACTTATCTTGGTGAAGACCAACAATGTTCCTGCGCAGCTCATAAGCGCGCCCTGCAGACCCAGCGCCAAAACGTTGACGTAAGTCAAGCCAGATTTCGCGAGCCGTCTTCACTCCGCATACGTTGTTGCGTATTTCTTTGGTAATAGCCGTCTTTAGCCAGCCTTTCACCATCGCACCACAACAGTCCCAAGCATCAAGACGCAAAGCTTCACCAGAGGCTGTGCGAGGTAACGCGCCATTGACGAATACTAGCTTGTTCTTGGCTATTAGGGCTTCGGTCATATCATTAACCCATTCAGCATAGTTCGAATCCGTGAGAAGGTCACCGCCAAATAATTGTCCAGGGTTCTCGGACGGGTGAAGGAAAAGCGACGACGAGAGGGGAATCGACATACCACTGCCGAGAGCTGCTTTGCTGTCACTCGAGCCGTCAGATGTGTCATCGTTTCCCATGACTGCAGAAATCGTTGTAAGATCTGGAACGATCACTGCTCTGATACCATGTAAAATTTGATAGTGCGAAATAAGAGAAGAAGAAGAAGTTTACGTGGTTTTCCCGATGAATGGGACTAGTCCACGGCGAGCAGAGCTCGAGATAGGGTTTTCACTATACTCTGGCCGAATAGAAATCAAAGCCTGATAGGTTACAGATTACAATACCTCTTGCCTACTAATACCCAATGCAACGAGCTAACCTAGGGTAATTAGTGGAAAATTACAAGAATGGTACTATAACAAAACGGGAACGTCAAATGACGTCCCAATAGATTGACCAGGCGGAGAAAGAGGCGAGGATTCGGATTGCAGCTCTTTTTGGGTACCGGACTGAAGCCACAAATGGATGAAAGAAGAAGAAGAAAGAGAAGTCGGCGAACTATTTGACAGGGAGACAACAAGCAAGACAGAGAGGAACATAATATATATGAGAGAGAGAGAGGACCTGTGAGGTTGCTCGGCCCCAGAGTCGGGGAGAAGGCGGTGGTGAGAATAGAGATTGAGACGCGGTGGTGGGGAAATGAGGGGGATGATCGCTAGGGGTGGGTTATAAAAAAAATTGATTTTTTTAGTAGTTAGTAATGAGGTGGAATATTTAAATATTAAATATTTTATTATTTTTTCATTGCCATGTCACATATTTAACAGTCAACTATAAGAGTTGACTGCCACATAAGCAAAAATTAACGGAGTTGAATGGAGAGTGACCAAACTTGAACTTAAAAGTTAATTCTGGTGACCACGAATGAAATTACATATTTTTAGTAACCAAACTTCAACATTTTTTATAATCAAATATTGCAATAAACCCTTTCTCAATTTTACGCAGTTTTATTTGGGCCTTGGCCCATACCATCTTATGTATGTAAAAGACATCACGAATGTCCAACCAAATCTCAATTTCCGATCTGGCTTTTGGGCTTGGCCCATTATATCAGCTCACGACGGTGAAACTGCAAATTCCCCTATATAAGCGCTCTGATTACTGAATAGGATTTCGCGAATAGGATACAAATATATTTTCTTTCCTTTTTCAGAAACTGCCTCATTTTTCTTGTAGATCAGCTCTTGGCTGATAACGTTGCCGCAAGCTCTGCATAATAATAGTTAAGCAGATTTTGATAAATAAAAAAAAGAAACTGTCTCATAGAGTCATAGTTAATGGTTTAACTCCCATAATTTATTTTATATGGGAAATTCTAATACACAGTGCATTATATTAAATTTTTTCTATTGAAAAGAAAATTGGATAATATAAAGGAAAGTGAGTTGGAAAGCCGAGAAGCAAAGTGAGGCGGGAGCCGGAAAACCCTAATCGGCAAAGGAGGCCCCTCCATTGAACGACACGTGTCACCAGCTCCAAGGCCCCGCGACACTCGATTTTCCCCTTCCGTTGTGTGTTCCTTGTCTCTCAATCATAATAAAACCAAAGAAACAGAGTCTCCCCTGCAACCAAATTCCTTTTCCCCCGTTACCTCGCCGTCGGAATTTTCACCCTAATCCCTTCTTCCCCTGACTCTATCGTCATCTCTTCTGGTCTCGTCTCGTCTCTCGCCAATGGCGGATTGACTGACCGGATTTGGTCTTTGCCTTTTCTCTTGTTTCTTCTGCGTGACGAAGATGAAACAGGAGAACAGCTGCTCTCTACCCGCTTACTTCGAAGAACACGAGTACGAAGTCGCCTCAATTCTGCTTGACCTTCCTCTTCTAATCGCCCGGTCCAAATCCGTCGTTGCTTCGTCGAATCATTCCATCCCGTTGTTCTGGTCCGGCAAGAGGAAGAGATCTTCTCTCTCTCGCGGAGGCCGAATCGATTCCTCACCCTTATCTCCGAGCCCGTCCCTTCAGCAGCCGACGGCGGCGGAGGACAAAATCTCGGCGGTGAGAGGAGAACCTAAACCTAAGGTGAAAAAGGCGGACAGCCCTACCACGCCGCTTTCCCTGTCGCTGAGCGAGGCGGAAGAATCCGGCGAGAAGCCTGCCCGCTGTAAACGGAGAGGCTCCCTCGCCGTCAGCAAAAAGGTAAACGCTTCATTTTTTCCGACTTCTTTTTTTGCTGAGTGGATTTGACCTTTTTATCCTTCTTTTTACCCTTATCTCATTCTGAATTTTATGCAGTCGAGAAAGGATTTGATGGAGAAAGTAGCGGAAAGCGAGGAACAGGGGAAAGTTTTACAGAAGGTAAAAGTTGGAAGTTTTTCCTTTTCCCTTTTACTCTGTTCTCGCATCCCATCTGTCGAATATTCTGTATCAAGCTGAAAATTTTACTTTGGGATTTTGGATTGAACACAGGAGATTGAGAATGTAACGCGTTATTACAAAATTTTAGAAGAGGAGAACTCAAAATTGAAAGCCATTGAACGACAGGTAATTCTTCTTCTTCTCCCACTTCCTTAAGAAAATCCTGTTCATAGAAAGCTAAGCAATTCCTCCCCTGATTTCTTCATATTGGAATTTGCAGCTGAGGCTTGGAAAGGAAGAGGGAAGGCCTGGTTTAACAAAAGCCCAATACGCCCAACCGAGAGCCGGTTCATTTGCCGTGAATGAAAATGGAGGGGGTGAATTGCAGAGTCGAAAGGTTTGGTTTGTGGCGCCGTGTTCGTCGAGCTGCAGCAGTAGTGGTTATAATAATTATGGTAGCGGGATCGGGATAGATCTGAACAGTGAGAGTGAGAATTTAGGTGTGTGTTTTCCGGTGGGGGAAGGGAGGTGGGATCCGATTTTGGGGGATTCTTGGCGGCGGCCGATTGATGATTTGGTGCTGAGGGCGGCGGCGGCGGCGGCGGCGCAGGCGAGGAAGAGAAGGGTTGATAAGATGAAGGAGAAAGAGCGGCGGCGGGGATTAAATTTTCGGGGCGGCAGTGGTGGTGGTAGTAGCAGTAGAAGGGTTAAACAAAAAGAAACCAATCTATCGGTCCAGGATATTTGGGCTGAAAAATTGGATTTCTTCTAGTTATGGCCTGCTTTGTTGCGGATTAATCTAGTTTGGGCTGGTGAAGCTCTACCAAGTACCAAGTCCATTTTTCTTTTTCGTTGAATACCAAGTCCATTTTTCCTGTGGAGCTTAACTCGTGAGTTTATAATCAAGCTCTTTCCGGGCTTAATGAGAGCCGAACTCGAGTTGGGAATTTGTATGACGAGTCGAGTTCCAGTTTGAATGGTCAAAGTTTGTGACAAATTCGAGCTGAGCTCAAGTTAAGAATTTTAGCTTCAAACTCGAGTTGAGCTGTCACAAAACTCGGTTCAGCTCGGCTCATTTTCAGCCCATGAGTCATTGTTTTGACTTTTGTTTCTACATCCCAATTAGATTAATCAACTACAAAAGGAGATTATGAATTTCTGAACTGTTGTCAGATTGCGGTATCAAGTATGTTTACAGTTTACACCTTTGTTTATGAATTATTAGAATTATTAAGCCGTGAGTTCTTACAAAAAGAAAGGGTTAAACTAATATGATAATGATGTGTGGTTTTTAGCTAACTAATTGTATTGTTATGATAATCGACTAATTGATTATTAATCTATATTTTTTTATTAAGTTGCGTATCAGTTACTTTTTCTTAAGAAAAACAGCTCTAATGAGTTGAAGTTTTCATAGTGCGAGTTGTTAATTTTTGTTTTATTAGTAGATTACTTCCGTGTACAGTTATCCAGTAACATGTCACAAGTATGGGCTCATGTTGGGCCGGGAAAAGTACGGCTCAAGGCTGAGGTACAGCCCAATGTATCAGATTGATATTCGTTGTGCACTGTGCAATAAAAAATTACAAGCCTAGCCCAACTGTAGAGATGAAGTTGAGTAGCAACGCTATGCCAAATTTTGTACAAAATTAATGCTAGCATATACATGTGTTACACGAAATATTTACTAAATATGATCTAGCTTCGAATTATTGAAAGGATGAACATATACCACTATATTACATGTAACTGGGACACGTGTCACTCTGCCTAACGTATTAGTGGGCAAAGAAACATTGAGAACATAACATTCGCAGGCAAAAAAGCATCAGGCTCAATCCAACTCAACTCAGTGGTTTGTCTGTATACATAAATATGCTCACTGGTCCAGAAAAGCTGAGTCGGTTTGAAGATAGAAATCTACTTCTCAAAGCAACCCACCCACCGTCACCTTTTACTTTCTTTCTCCACCAAAAATTCATCAAAACCCAGAATTTAGTTTCTCCTCTTCGAACCATGAATTGGGTAGCGGAGAGAAAAGGAGCTTCCAAACAAGGGTGGACGAACCGAACCCTGGCTTCCATATCACCGCCGCCGTTCCCTTTACTGACCCTTCTCCTCATTATCTTCTTCCTCCTCTACCTCTCTTCGTACTCCAACTACAGGCACCAAATGAACGAGACTTTCGTCAGCTTCAAGCTCTTCCTTCTCTTCGTTCCCGTCATCATGATCTTCTCCGCTCAGCTTGTGTCCAAGTTCGAGATTTTTGCTTTCCCACGGACCAAAGCGGAGTACTATGGCAACTCGCCGGCGGTGAAGAGGCGGCAGCTGGACTTGCCGTGGGGGATGGTGGCGGCGGTGGTGTTTCTTTTGTTTATGGTGTCGTTCCAGTCGTCTCTTCAGTCCATGTGGTCGCCGGTTGTGCGGCGGTCCGGTTGAGTTGAGAGGTTGGGAGGAAGTGGGTTTTGGGTTTCTTTTCCGGTTGGTGGAAGGTTTTAGCTGCGGTAGGATTTTGTGACTGTTTCCTGTCTTGTCCACGTGTTTGTTTTGTTTATTCGGTGAATAAAACTTGATCATCGTTTTGGGTTACAATAATTTTCTCCAAATCATCCAACAACGAGCCATCCTAGTTTGATATTTCATATTTGTCTATTGTTTAGTGCAAATGAATATGAACTTAATATTTTCAGGCTAACCAATCCCTTTCGTTGTTCTCATTGGGTGGTGGGCTAGCTAATTAAAGGCTAGAACTAGAACGTGAATGTGAAGGTGGTCAAACGATATATATATCATTGGGCTGATTTAGAAAGTGGAATGATTCTGTACATCATTGTGTTGATTTACAAAGGGTATAGTTCATCGATATCGCTTTAAAAATGTAATAAAATTATTAACATAATTTTTTTTGACAAAATACATTTGTATAATCAAAACTTTCACGGTTATGTCAATAATATTCAAATTTTCAGATATATTTAGCCACTAAAGTTGTTCTTTGTCAAATCTAGTCATTTCCGTTAAATACTTTAACGGCGTTAATAACTCCGTCAACATAGCTGACGACAAGCTGACTAGGTGCAACTAAGCAAACATGTAAGTGCCAACTATACCAAAAGTGACACGTAAGAAATTAATAATAATTTATAAATAATTTAAAATAATTTCCCCCCATATACCCACTCTACTTTCCACGAAGAGCACAACTAGTACCTTTTCCTCGATTTCGTTTTTAGTGTTCGCACCCTGGCAGCTATTGAAGCTCCTCCCGCCGACTGAATCTCCTCCCGACGATTGAAGCTCCTCCTGTCGACTGAAGATACTCCCGGGGACTGAAGCTCCTCTTGCCGAGTGAAGATTTCGGATTCGTGGATTCTGGCGATTTGGCGACTCCTAGTGATTTGGCGTTTGGCGATCGGCGACCTAGATTCACGACAAAAGCGATTTGCGGACCCAGCTTGCCTTTTGTCCTAGGCGATTAGCTTCTTTGCTGATTCTCGTCTCTGTCGAGGAATTCAATCGACGTCCTGCCATGTCGAAGCGATGTTCTTCTTCAACTTCGACACAAGGTCATGGGGTGGTAGTTTGCAAACACAAGGTGGTCTGTGTGGTTAATACCTCTGGTACAGAACTGAACCCAGGCAGGCAGTTCTATGGGTGCCCATATTGGAAGGCAATGTAACCGGTATATGGTTTTTGTAATTTTGAGGTTGTCTTTGATGAATGTGTTTGTTAATCTTGTGCTTCTTATGGTGCAGAACGAGAAACAAACTGCGATATTTTTAGGTGGGTACATGGGATGGTTGATGAAGTGGAAGAAGGAACCTCTACAATTGAGAGTTCTCAGCTGAAGCTCGAGGAAAGTTTGTGGGTAGCTGATGCGAAAGCGGAAAGTAGGAAGAAGGAGAAGAGAATTTTTGTTGAAGAGTTGTTAAGGTTGATGAAGACTCAAGAACTTATGCTAGCTAAAGGAAGGAGAGTGGCTAAAGACATCCCTCTCATCCGATATCAGTTCACAATTCTTGTTGTAGTGAACTTCTTCTTGCTTGTTCTTTTGTGGCAGCACCAGTTTGTTATGTAGAAGTAGTTGTCATTGTACTAGGTTTGCTTCAAATTGAAATGTGAAAGATGAATGTGTTTAACTTTACATTCTTTGGAAGTACACCTTGTCTTGTGTAGGGTGCGGTTCAAATCCAAGAATGAAGTTCCCGCTAGGATCTCGCTTTATCAACTCTCCCAAGAAAGACATCACCATGTGATAATCTTCCACAAGTGAACCACTCAACATTTTGATAGCACAGGCCTTTGCTCTATAGCAGGTTCTTCTAGCCACTTCTATATTATGCTTTAACTTTACTTCTGCCATGACTTGATCAGGAGCCCACTCCGGATTAATTCTGAATATCTCGAGCATATCCCCCGCAATCCAGTGGGCAGTTACTTGGTTGACACTCAGCTGTCTTGCACAATAATGTGGCACCCTGGTTTTCCTCACCATGAAGCTCTTATTCCGCCTGAACCAGCTAGCATATACCCTCCATTTGCAGTTAATGTCCTTGCAAATCACCTCTCTTCTTGATGGATTAACCCTAACCCATCTCAAACCGGCCCCATCAGCTACAGATTGGCGGACCACAGCTGCCTTAAATTCTTTCGGACTAGCAAACTTCATCCGTGGCACGAACTGGAGAACATTGTGGTCACAATGTGGATCATATTGCGGTGCATCTTCGAAGATGTCCCCACCATCCGAATCAGAAAGGTTGGCTCTCACATGGTTTGATTCTTTGGAGAGCCTGTAACTCGAATGGTTTGAGCCTGCTCGCCTAGCTTCTTGCATTGGAGGTACCTCGTCCGGTTGGGCATCTTCCTATTCTTCATTCACACCATTAACCTCATTATCCTTAGCCAATCCATCCTCCTCCTTAGAGTCATCACCAGAGGATTCGTCCTCCTCAAAAACATCAAGTTGTTCGACCTCCTCTCCATGGCCATCAATACGTGCATTCACCTTCCTTTTCTGTATCTCCCCATAGGCTTAGATTTGCCATTGCTTCATGGTACTCGTCATCATATGTGCCTGCATCTTCTGAATCGTAAACGTGGTATATATCTCGAGCAACAGATTCCTCGACACCATCAAGTGAAGCCAAGGAAGCATCTGGATTCTCCTGAACAGCATCTGAATCATTCTCTCCAAAAGCCTCATCCCATGAATTAGCCATCTATAAATACCTTTAATCATTTTTTAATCACCATTATCCCCATCAATAGCTTAAGGTAACAATTCTTTAATCACTAACTAACAAACAACTCGAAAACAACAACGATTTACATTATTCAATTCTAGGGTTTTTGCAACTAAAGGTAATGACATTTCTATCCAGAAGATTCAGCTACTCACAGTCAGATTTGGGGGCAAAATCGGTGTGGAATTCAATCGAGTGGTCCCCTTGTTCTTTTGTCCTGTCACGTTTGCTATCTTTACACCTCGCTACCACCCAAAAAAGGAAGAGAAAGACACTTCTATAAGGACTTTCCAGCCAAAATCAACACCCACAACTACCAATTCAAAAGCGAGACTCACTAGTGGCTACAGACGAGGGTGCTCAGAAATCCCCCTTTTTTGTGCGATTAGGGTTTCTTCGAAGCGACCTCCTCTCCTCGTGTTTCCAGGGTTCGAATTTGAGGTCTTCAGCGGAATGGAAGCTAGGAAGGAGTCAGCTTATCGCCGCGAGTTGGTCAAGTCACCGAAATCGCTGTGGGTCTTCGTCGAGGAAGGGGGGCGAGAAGGGTAGATCAATGACGGGAGGCGAATCAGGACTAGCGGAGGGAGGTAGATCGATGAAGGATGGAGGCAAATCAGGGGGTACGGCGAATGTCGTGGACACAGATCGACCGTCGGCGATAGACAATCGTTTTCCGTCGCCTTCGCCTTCCTCCGCATGCGAAGGGTTAGGGGGTTCGTCGAGGAAAAAAAGGAGAAGGGTAGAAAGTTAGGTCGAACGAGGGGTGAGGTCAGATGAAGGGGTTTGAAATTTTAATTGTTTATTTTTTAAATTAAATTAATCAGCAATCCACGTGGATAATTACAGAAGAATTGGGAAATAAGGGTTCGCCACGTAAGCACCGCCGCTTGTCCTGTTAGATTTAACGTTAACATCGCTAAAGAATGTGACGGAATTGACTATAAGTGGTATTTCTGGAAATTTGGCTATTATTGGCACAATCGTGAAAGTTTTGACTATACAAGTGTATAAAACCAAAAATTTAATACATATAAAATAACTTAAACATATATAACATATTTAAAGACAATTTATTACCATCTCAATTCATATTTAAATAGAATACACAAATAATCATAATTAAATTACTATTTATCGACAACACCTAAATGTTAATATTTGGACTCAGTAAATAACATCAACATTTAACTTTTACATTTATAAAATAAATCATAAATTATATTTTTGTTAACTATATTTTCTAAAATGTTGTCATTTTGTTTGAGAGCGGAAATCAATCAATGTCAGTCATATAAATTGTGCTCTAATTGATTTAAGAATTAACATCGATTACCTTATATCAAGTTCAACCGACCAACATTCTACCAGCATGACAATGTTTTTTTTTTTATAATAGTGATATAATTTATTACTTAAGAAAAGGGAAGAAACAAACTAGGCTGCAGAGCAAAGACTGCAGCAACAAACAACAGCAGCAACAAGCAAAACAAAAAAGAGCTGGTGCAAAACGAACAAAAGAAAACACCCTCCAAAAAACAAACGTGCAATTAGGGATGGCAATGAGGCGGGTTAGGGGCGGGTTTGCCTAAACCATCCCCGCTTTCAAATATCTAAACCCGTACCCGCCCCATACCCATGCGAAGGAAGCTTTTGCAAACTCATTCCCATACCCGTGGGTTTCGGGTACCCATAGGTAATACCCGCCCCATACATCTAACATCATTGTACCAAAGACTTACATGCAAATTTTCAATTATAACGCTAAACAAACTTACTATATCATTAATTTTACAAAGATAAAATCATTTTTAATATGGTTCAAATCCTATGATCCTAAAACATCTATTATTCAATAAGATAGAGTATAATATTTTCCAAATCATTAGTTTCTAACTCTGATACATCTACTAAGTAATACTTACCTAACATAATTATCTTGTTAACAAGAGGAAAAAGTGAAAGAATGAAGAGAGAATTGACGTAAAGGAATATATTTGGATTTGGGTGGTCACTCAATTGCATTTATACTATATATTGTCTTAAGTTACCTTCACTAACATTGATAGATTTCAATTTGATCCATGTATATTTTTATATGTAAAGAAATATTCTTGGTGGGGCGGGTATGGGTATGGGTATGGGGCGGGGGAGGCTAAAACCATACCCGCCCCATACCCATCAAACTTTTTGCGAGTTTTACCCATACCCGCCTCATACCCAGTTAATGCGGGGATTCCCCGCGTTGACTGGATCGGGGGCGGGTGGGAACCCACGACCATGGATTTGATTGCAATCCCTACGTGCAATCCATCTCTTCGATGTCCAGCTCAAAGCAAGAGAGAGACCAAGTCGGTATTAAAAATGGGATTTCCAATATGGTTGGGTAAAACATCCTATAGCATTAGAATTTTATCAGTTGGTCTCTAGAAATTTACAACTCCAAACTAGATCGGCTAAGTTCCCACGACTTATAAATATGTTTAGTGTGGTTAATTTTATTTTTATGTGTATAAATTGATTTTTCCAGAATTATAGTTGAGACACGAGGCAAGTCGCCATAGGTGATTACCGTTTGACAGTATCCTATTGAAGTTATGGAAAAACTCGAGATTTCTAGAGGCTTATTCGTGGTTTTGGAGAACCCAACTGAAGCCAAGCTAGTTTGCTGCATTTAGTAACAGGCTTTGGAAAAAGCTGTGCCAATTTGGACAATAACAAGAGCATGTCTCATTTCCACAAAATATTGATGTCACACGCAGTAACAGAATCAGTACACTTGGTTAGGAATTTCACTACTCGGTACAAGCTAAAGCCTAGGTAGTTGGGAAAGGAATTCTCAGTCTTCACTAAATTATCTACACATATATTAACAGGTTACACAGCTGCAGCTCAAAGAGGTTTAAGCCGACTCTCAAAAAAGCCATTGGAAAGACTTCTCTTCAAGGACATTAAACAGGAGCCGAGGAGTTCTTCAGCTTAGGGACTCTGAAGGAAGAAGTGAACAGTTTCGGTGGCGATTCCATGATGATAACAGCATCATCACCATCTCCCTTTCTCTTTGACCTTCTACTACCCTGATCAAAAGCAAAAGAGAAAGGATTTAGCCAAGTTTATTTATACCAAGTTCATGAACCACAAAATGATTGGTTCTTTAGCATGCATATACCTTCCCATTCGGTCTCACATTCTCAGCAGCTGACTCTTTCTTTACAGTTTTAACAGCCATCCCCTTGCAGCTTCTCAAAACAGGAGTAACAACAGCTTGAGACTTCTTCTTCAAATCTTCCAACTCTTGGGATAACTCGGACGCTCGAGCTTCCAGCTTCTCGATGACCTCATCCTTCTCGGTGTTGGAAGATTGGAGCTTTGCGATGGTCACATCCTTCTCAATGTTGGAAGATCGGAGCTGCTCAACCGTGGTGTGAACTTGGGAAAACTTATCGTTAGCTTGATCAACTTCTGCTTGCTTCTTCTTCAGCTTTTTGGTCAGCTTGCTTTCCAACATGTTGAATTGGTTCCATATGAAGGTTTTCTCCTTCAAGAGCATGGCGATCTCAGCATTCTTCTCAGAAATAAGATTCTCATACTTGAGCTTGAGCCTTTTAGATTCAGTGTCTGGTGCTGCTATCTTAGAGGTGGAAGACCTCGTTCGCCTCCTTGATCCAGTGCCTTGATCTGGTTCCTCGATCTTCTGCGAGAAACATCATCCATTCGTAAGAGATCAAACAACGAAATATGCTGAAGAATGTAAGGCAATAGACAACACCTACTGCTCACTTTCACAGAGATCAAACAACATCCATTTGTAAGAGATAAAATAACGGGAAAATGCTGAAGAATGTGAGGCAATAGACGACAACTACTCACTTTCGGGCTAGCAGTGAGGAGGTCAAACAAGGCCCTGAAATCTGCCAATTCATCTTCTGTTTCCTCTGCAACAACCACATGAAATGGAGTTAAAGTTGTTAAGATTATGCCAAAACTCGACCACAATCTTCCAGAAAGTTCAAACCATGCCAGTTTCATTAGCTAAGAAATCACATACTCTAGTGCTTTAATTAAGGGGAAAACCGTACCTTTTCCTATCTATACGAATACACCCTAACTTGATTTACTCTTAACCATTAACCAACTGTACAGTTCACAAGCATCAATCTAGCAAGGAAGGTAAGCGTAAAAATTTGAACTTTTTTATATCCATACAAAAATCCCCCACAAGAACCTTGAAAAGAAAACAAGAGGGGCCAAAGACGGATCTAATTTTCATTTAATCCGCAAAACCCTAATTCAAAAAATTTGGATTCAATCTCCCGAAACATTATCAAGTTCCAATCTTGCAAACAAAGAATGAACTTTCCTGCTTTCCAAGCACTAAGCCATATAACCATCTACCAAGAGCAAGCAAAAGAAGGCAGCGGTAACTGACCTAACTTCAGTTTACGAACCATGCTTTCTCTGTGCTTCAATCCCACCATCAACTCAGATTTGGCAGCCACCATCAACAACTCCATCTCTTTCTCTTCCAGGCATGACTTCAGCTACTCCGACATAATAGAAAAAAGAAAAACACGCCCCGATTAGTCATCAAGTCGGATAAGTGGAAACCCTAAAAATTCGAATCAAATTGGGGGTAGAAACAGATGAAAGAAACTTATAGAACAAACCTCGGAGATATGAGTTTCGTAGGCTCGCTGATTGGCAGTCCATGATTCGTGCTGCTTCTTTATCCATTTTTCGAGGAATTTCCTCTCGCTGAGCAGAGTTTCGAGCTGGCCCTGTTGATTCTTTAGCAATTTCACCAGCGGCGCATAAAACGCCTCCCATTTCGCTGGATCCGAACTGGGCTTGGGACGTTTGGCGCCACCCATTTGAGAGCTCTGACGATCAGCGTTGAAGACAATTAGAAGAAAGATTGGAACTTTTTCTAGTGTTCACTGATAAATCTTTGCTGTACTATTTGCAGAGCTTTGCAACTTTGAGCGGGGGGCGAAAGAGGGATCTCAAGTCTCAACGGACAACGGTCGGAAGTTGGATAGCTTTTTGCCTTTATGATAAGAAGAGCGGGGTTACCTTTATTTTCTGGATTCGAAAACGCTTTTTTTGGGCTGGGCTTTTTGTTGATAGAAGTTTGGCCCAAGTCGTATATGCAGATTTTTTAAAAAACCAAAAGTCCAGTAGCTGATTCGTTACTGACGGCAAAGTTCAGTGACCATTTTGAATAATTGACCGACCCTATGTTCCCTCCCCCCTGACTCTGAGGGCCTCGAACGTTGGAAACTGGAAAATCATATGGTAATCCGACGGAGGCTCTTTTTGGTTCTTTTTAGTTTTAGCCCTTCTTCTATGGACACAGTGATAAGCCGACTGCCTTTTCTCCATTCACTTCTCATTTTCTCATTCAAAAAGACCTTGTATTATCATCACACCAATAAAACGACAACGTAATTGGCGGACCTTGCCAAGTTCCCATGCTGAAATCCAGTTCCATTGCTACTTTGGTACTTTGTCCCTCCTGTTCTTGTTTCCAAAATTTCGCCGCTAAAGTTAAATACACATCGAGATCCCAATATATATATATATAAAAAGAGGAATGCCTCTCACCAGCCAGGCATGAATCTCAACTCTCCAAGTCAAAAGCTTTCAACTTAGCCTTTCTTTTTTTATCCCACCCAAAGGCTCCAACCTTTCATCTTTGATTTCTCTCCATACCCAACTTCTCTTCTACGCTAATCTCTAATGGGTTCTTGTCAACAGGTGAAGAAGACTGACTACTTTGTCTAGATGTCTCCGGTGGCCGATCCGTCCTGCACCCAGAACGGAAGCTACTCCTCAGCCGCCGTCAGCGTGATCAAATGCGTGGAGGCCGTGACCGCGGCGAAGATGGAATCCAACGCCGACGACGCCGACGACATCTTGAAGCTGCTGGACACCACGAGGCCGATCAAGGTCGATAGGCCGAGGTCGATCGGCGAGAGGTCGTTTAATGAGCTGTCGGCAGCTCTTTCGCCTCGGCACTACAGAAACTACGACAATTCCTCCCGGGTTGACCACCTCGACTATGTCTATTCCCCCGGGAGATGGTCCGGTTTCAACTCACCGAGGTCGATGTCGACTCACTTCGAATCGAATCCGATCGTGGCCGAAGCTTGGGAGTCGCTGCGGCGATCTCTTGTTTACTACCGCGGCGAGGCTGTTGGGACCATCGCTGCTCTCGACCACTCCGAAGAGCAGGTCAATTACGATCAGGTGAGTCTGAAATAATTTTGTCACGATAACTGGAGTTGTTGTCAACTCGAGTTCATTTCGTACCACGATTAAGTCAATCTCGACTCTGTTGAGTATCACTGTTGGATGCTATTACTCAGGTGTTTGTGAGGGACTTTGTGCCGAGTGGGTTGGCGTTTCTAATGAACGGAGAGTACGAGATAGTGAAGAACTTTCTACTGAAGACGCTACATTTTCAATCGTGGGAGAAGACGGTGGATCATTTCAAGCTGGGAGAAGGGGTGATGCCGGCGAGCTTCAAGGTGATACACAAGCCGGAGAAGAACATCGAGACGCTGATCGCCGACTTCGGTGAGACGGCGATCGGTAGAGTGGCGCCTGTGGATTCCGGGTTCTGGTGGATCATTCTGCTTCGTGCCTACACCAAATCTACAGGGGATTCGTCTTTGGCCGAGATGCCCGCTTGCCAGAGAGGGATAAGGCTCATCCTTAGCCTCTGTCTCTCCGAAGGGTTCGACACTTTCCCAACTCTTCTCTGCGCCGACGGCTGCTCCATGATCGACCGTAGAATGGTGAGGGTTAGCTCATTTAGATTATTTTTTTCCTCCTCTCTTAGGCATTTCGACGAACAGTTCGGCTACAATTGAGCTTGAGTCATGTTTCCCTCCTATCAGGGTGTCTATGGCTACCCAATTGAGATACAGGCGCTGTTCTTCATGGCCCTCCGATGCGCGCTGACTCTGTTGAAGCAAGATTCAGAAGGGAAGGAGTTCGTGGAGCGGATCGTGAAGCGGCTCCACGCTCTAAGCTACCATATGCGGAGCTATTTCTGGCTGGATTTGAAGCAGCTGAACGACATCTACCGTTTCAAAACAGAGGAATACTCGCACACGGCGGTGAACAAGTTCAACGTCATGCCGGACTCTCTCCCCGACTGGGTTTTCGACTTCATGCCCTGCCGCGGCGGGTACTTCGTCGGGAACGTGAGCCCGGCGAAGATGGACTTCCGGTGGTTCTGCCTGGGTAACTGCATAGCGATCCTGTCGTCGCTGGCCACGCCGGAGCAGGCAGCGGCGATCATGGACTTGATCGAGGCGCGGTGGGACGAGTTGGTCGGGGAGATGCCGTTGAAGATCTGTTACCCCGCGATGGAAGGGATCGAGTGGCGGATTGTGACCGGGTGTGACCCGAAAAATACCCGGTGGAGCTATCACAATGGCGGGTCTTGGCCAGGTCAGCTTTCTTTCTTGGTTTGACTGACGCTTTGACCCTCTCAGAGTCAGTGTCTCAGTAGCCCTCGCATGGGCTTATATTTATTAATTATTTTGGGTCCAAGTATGCAGCCCACTAAACAAAATGAGCACCAAATTATTTTTTTTCTTATAAGAAAATTAACACCATATTGGATGTATTTTGTTTGTTTTTCTTTTAAATGATCACTATAATTATGATATCTATAAGAAATGTCATTTTAATTTAACGTAATGTATAGTTTAATTCATAGGATTTGATGGTATTGTGTTTAGGGGTGGGCAACGGGTTGATCTATATGGTATAGAACCATACCGGACCAAACCGACACTTGAATCGGATTATTGCGAACCGAATATAATATGATCGGTCCTATTAGTCCCATGAATTTTTTTAATACTGAAAAAGTTGACCGAATTAACATTGGGACCAGACCAAAATGAACAAAAGCGGACCGAATGCAGTCTTGGTCCGGTCCTTGGTCCTAACGTATCTTTCAAAACTGAATTGTGGTTCTCCTAAATTTGGTACGAAGCGTTCCGAACCGGACCGTTGCCCAACCTTAATTGTGTTCTAAATCTAAGAGGGGATTATATTGGAAATCAATTAGGAAAACATTATTTTCATCACCATTATCAAAAAAAATTAGGAAAACATTTTACTGTCATAACTAAGATAAATGTTAGGTTATACAAGCATAGCCTCTATTACAAAACGTATTTGGGCACTCAATTCTATATGTATTGATGTCGTTGGATCGTCCTAATAGGCCTTTTAGTCATTTCATGTTATTTGACGTTCCTTCCTACAGTGCTTTTGTGGATGCTGACGGCGGCTTGCATCAAGAGCGGGCGTCCACAGATAGCTAGGAGGGCGCTGGAGCTGGCGGAGAGCAGGTTGGGGAACGACCATTGGCCGGAATACTACGACGGCCGACAGGGACGGTACGTAGGGAAGCAAGCGAGGAAGTACCAGACGTGGTCGATTGCGGGCTACTTGGTGGCCAAAATGATGTTGGAGGACCCTTCACATCTGGGGATGGTATCCTTGGAGGAGGACAAGTTAATGAAGCCACTAATGAAGAGATCAACCTCCTGGACTTGTTGAACCACGCCGTTCAAACAGCTCAACCCACACCATACAAAACTACTGTCGAGATTTTGACTCTACTATCTATATTGATATCTATATATTATGTCAATTCAAAAGTAATCTCTTACCATATAAGTACTTCAAGGATACACAATTCGCCAAGTTGGACAACTTTTTTACAAACAAAAAAATTAGTTATTAATATATTTATGGAGCTACCTCTCTATTCTTATTATTTCCATTTTTTTAATCCAATTATTCTTTTTCATTTATCCTTTTTTTTTTTTTGCTTTGATAATAAGTTACATGTTGATAAACTTAACCAAACACACATAAATAATAATTTTTTGTCAAGTAATAAAATATAAATAAGAAAACAGAGAGTGACATATATCACTTTTTAAAATAAAAAATATCTAATTAAACCTTACAAAGTAAAATTTCTACTCATTTTTACTAAAATTGAATGATAAGTTACATTTTGATGAAAAATTAAACAAATATACGCATAAACGATAATGTTTTTATCGATTAAATAAAATATATATGAAAATAGAGAAAATAAACATTTGACATTCAATTACCTTTAAAAAATAAATTATGTTACTTTATATTTTGTTGCAATGAAACACTCTCTTATTCATAAAGTATATGTTGATCGAGTAGTTACAATTATTTATTTAAAAAAAAGATTTCATATTCATTCAGATCATGTTCTACCTTAAACTCCTCAAATGAAGAGGGATCGCATTTGCAATAATTTTATAATGTGTCATAAGTTCACATTAACAATAGTTTCTCTATATCATGTTGATTGATCAAAGCTCTATTGAGATCCTAAGTCGTATGCTAAGAAATTTTCTTTCAGACTTGGATTTATCGTACACAATTATAAATCAAAATTTTCAAAATGACTTAGGTATGATTGTTGACGAACTTCGACTTCATACCCTAGGATGAGACACAAGATTCCTTGAAAAATACATATGTAAATGTTAGAGAAATCTTTCATGAGAATATACGATAAACATTACGTTTAACCTAGGCATTTACCAAATAAAGGTTGACAATTTTTAGTAAGATAGTCAATTGGGATAAACATATTTATCCAGCAATCAAGTATCTTTATCCAATAATCTTAACTCTCAAAATTGGTTGTCAGTTCGTCCAAACTCGAAAATCACGAATTGATATATGTTGTATAAGATAATAAGTGGGTTAATTACATGGTTGGTCACTGAGATTACAAAAAACGTTTTAGTTTGGTCACTCGAAATATTTAAATCCATTGTTGGTACTTCAGTTTACTAAAATCGTTCACGTTTGGTCACTCTCCGTCCAACTCCATTAACTTTTGCTTACGTGGCGGTCAACTCTAAAAGTTGACCGTTAAATGGTGACATGTCAATTTAAAAATAATAGTATTTATTTAATTAATTTTTTGTAAATTTCCATCTCATTTCTAACTATTAAAA